TTGTAGTGCCTAGAGATGCGCTAAGCACGATGCAGTGCTCGAGGAGGCATGAAGATGGCCCTAGCAACGATGACAACAGAGCATCGCGGTGCGAGCTTTCGGCCATGGCGACAGAGGGCGCTAGGGGGATGGATTCGAGGTGTAGGGAGAGGAGAATTACGGCGGAGCTCACCTAGGAGCTCACGGTGGCTCGGTGAGGGCTTAGGAGCAGTAGGATCGGCAGACCGAAGCGGTGGACGAAGGTGCGATCCGGTTGATGTAGAGTCACTGAGCTCGAGCCCGTGGACGTAGATGAGGCAACAAAAGCGACACAACTCCCAGACAAGGAACTAGCCGACGGGGAGAACAGTGGCCTTGAGAACGATGATGGCCATGGCAGCGATGGTTTGGCCGAGCTCGGGATCGAGCAAGAGAGATAGAGATAGAGAGAGAGAGAGGACAGGGGGAAGTGTCTAGGGTTTCGCCGGGGGTCAGGGTGGCCTACTTATCCATCCAGGGGATCGCTGGATGGGCAACACATGCGCATCGACGGCGTGAATGTGCATGTGTGCACCTCACCATGGCTGTTGCCTCTCCTTGGCGGGAGGTATGAGAAAGGCCGAGGCAGGCTAGGTTGGGCCGACACTGTGCTTATAGAGCCCAAGTGCATAGTGGCCTGATCTGTTTTCCTTTTCTTTTTCTATTTCTTTTACTTATTTCTGTTTTTGTATTTATTTTAGCTACTAAATTAATGTAGTTAAATATGAAACCTTTCACATAAATACTAGACAATATTTTAGTGTTTCTCAAAAACTTTCAGGCCATTTGGACTTATCCAAATTTGAGTTCGAATTTAAATGGCTTAAATAAGTGTTGTTGGTCCACTTCAAATATTTCTTGGGGCATTTTGGGAATTCCAACATGGTTGATGTCTTCATGACAATTACTTGGGAATTATTTGGGCTATTATCAACATTTTTGATTTACTGTTTGAAGAAATAATATTTTGACTTTCAATTTCAATTTGAATTTGGATCAAGGTGGTGATTAACATAGTAATCATGATGATTGGGCAACTTTATTAGGGAAGCACTCTAGCTTAATTCACGGGGGGTTGTTACAATAGGAGTCCAGATGGGATCGCTTCGGAACAGAGGCTTGTGGCGGCGATAAAATTGTTTCAGGTCTCGCCTCGAGGGTTTCTAAATATTTAGGAATTTACATGTCAGGAATAAGGGCAAATGGAGCCGCGAGGGGCCCACAAGCCAGGGTGGCGCACCCTACCCCCTAGGGCGCGCCCCTGCCTTGTGGGGCCCTCGTGGGTCTTCTCATCCTCCCCAAAAGCTTCTAGGGTCTTTTATTGTCCAGAAAAAATCATCAAAAAATTTCCTCATGTTTGGACTTCTATATGTATGGATATCATTTAACCATAAAAATAATAATAGATCCGTTTGAGACGTAACTGAGTGCTCCATAGCCGTTTTGCGGTTGTTTCAGGACATATAAAACTATGAAATGCAGATACATTATTGGAGGTGTTGACAGTTTGTGTGATTATGCACAACATAATTGAGGAGGATGAGAGTGGCGGAGTTCGCCATGGCATGCAAGTTGAGTGATCCTATTGAACTTCCGAGCGGAATCCGGCGATATTTGAGGATTTTATCCAATTGTATCAACAGATTCGCCATTGAGGAACGCTTCAAGGGAAGAACTTAAAAATGTGTCCGAATAAATTGAATTCAAATCTAAACTATCCTTATTGCAAAACTTCATGTTTGCATTGTAATATTTATATTTGAATTATTATTGCACTGAAATACTTACACAATATAATTATGGGGTTTAATTGTTTTTAGTGCTATAGATATAGAAAAAATGGTGAACACTTGATGCACTAAATTGGACGACCGTCCCCTATCACTGTCGCGGATGACATGTCCGATGTTCGTTTTGGTGAACTCATGGGAGTTGCCCTAAGGGGAAAATATCAGGTGCTACCGGCCCTTAAGTGATACTGCGATACGGGTTCGTGGGTAGTTGACTCGGAGCTCTTGAACATTTTGCAAAAAAAACATTCGAGAGTTTTAAAATTGCTCGCAAATAGAATAGCTCCTCAGATGCCATTGGACCCGAGATCCAGCGGCTCCCAAAAGCCCGTATCATGATATCACCTAAGGGCGGTAGCATGCATGTGGATTTGATGAACATGGTTCCACACGCTTTCCTTATGAATAGTAAATTCAGAAAAGATACTAGAATTTTTTTAAAAAAATCTGAATATTTTTTGTAACATATAGTCAACCGATATACCCGCGTATGAAGTTTCACAACGAAATTACATCAGTGGTATTCTGGGTAAAAAAGACAAGTCAAAGCTATGTTAAAAAATACTACTATTTAATGAATAGTAATGTCTCAATTATTTTTCTTCACCAAGAATATCACGAGTGTCTTTTTCATAAAACTTCACGCATGCGAACCAACCTGTGGTTGGACCGTTTGAGGGACTGTAGTATCCTCAACCCATCAGAGTTCTAAGTCCTGGTGCTCGCATTTATTTCTGGATTTATTTCAGGATTTCCGGCGATGCGCATCTAGTGGTAGGAGACGTTCCCGTCGACGACGAGGTGCCTACGGTGACTTCGTAAATTTCAAGATGATATGTCGGCTCGGTCTTTCGGAGGTGTTCATAGGGGTAGGGTGTGCGTGTGTGCGTTCATAGGGGTGAGTGTATGCGCGTGTATATGAGCGCTTGCGTCTGTACTGTGTTAAAAAAAACTTCCCACATGATTAGAATGGTCGTAGTTTTTTCTAATAATTATTTTGAATTTACTATTCACCTAGATGCGCGTAGAACCATGTTCACATTTTCGACCGTAGCACCTGATATTTCCCTGTTGCGGTAATTTCCCAAATCCCCCATGCCTTCCTCAGCGCATCGCCTAAGAGAAAAAGAAAAAGAAAGGAAAAACAGCAGCGGCGACGAGGCGGGGGTGTTGGGGGAACGGCGGGAAGGTGGGGTTGGGGGAACGGCGGGAAGTCGACGAGACCCAGAAGCTGTCCGCGCCCCACGCGCGGGATGGGCAGGCCACCTCGCTGGTCCTGGCCATGGCGGGGTCGAGGATGCGGTCGGCCTCGTCCTCGGCAGCAGGATGATGGCTGGTTGGTGGCGCGAGGAAAAGCTCGTGCACGGCGTAAGCACGGGCCGGCGTGGAGGTGGTGCCCTTCTCCTCTCTTCTTTCCCTCTGGTCTGCTCTCTCTGCATCGCGTGGGGTTGGAGATGGTGGCGCGAAACGGGGGCGCGGGCATAGGAGGAGGCCAGAGGAGCTCGACGCCGGAGAGGAGCTAGCTGGCAGAGCACGGAGAGGAACGAGGCCGAGCTCGGGCGGGGCGGCCGAACTTGGCATGCGGCAGACGAGCTCGCCGGGCAGCGCCGCGACGGCCTGGATGCGGACGGCGGAGAGAGAGAGTGAGAGGGGTTCGGTTCTCCGTCGGGCGGCGAACTCCATCCCGTCCTCCGCCATCCTCTCCCGCGAATCTGGCCCGCCGCCGAAGAAATTTTTCCTCCATGTCCTGAACCACGGAGCATGATCTCTGACGATGAGACGGCGACAAAACTGTAACGCGCGGCTCCGTCACTGGCCCACCGTACGACGATTTTCCTGCGAACCGGACCGGCATTTCATTTCAGCAAAAAAAAAGGAAGTAGAACCGGACCGGGCCAATGAGGACCCTATCTTAAATCTCCACCATTCCACCCTTATCAACCCCGCCCACAACCCCTTTCGTTATCTATCTTTCCCTCCCTCCTCTCTTAGGTTCCTCTGCTCACTACTGCTGCCCCTTCTGCTCCTGCACCTCCATCCCAGTAATGCCTAGCTTGTAGACAGTGCACCTACCTCAGCCCAGCTGCCTCTCTCCTTACCTTAGCTGATTGCTTGGGAAATTGCCCTTCCATTTTGCTTCCTGTGGCCGTCAGTTCATCCTTGCCGGTATACTGTCAAGAGCAGCTGAGCGCCAGGCCATTGGTAAATTGTGGAGCTGCTATTATTTGGTTTCAATGTCTTCTTTGTGTGTGGCCTTTTCTTGGAAATTTTCATATTAGCGTGCGCTTAATCGGTATCCCAGGTTGCTTCTGTGTTTCGATATGCATGCTTATGCGCATAACATTGTTCTTGCCTCCCTCGTGCAGTGTGAGCACGGAACAGCAAACACTGCTTCTCAGCTAAGCCCTCTTAAATTGTTCCTATTGTGTGCATTTGAAATTGGATATCCTTTCTACGGTCATGTATATTTCCAATTTCCAAAGAATCTTTGTCAATTTTTAGCATGTCTGCTCATGTCATGGTAAATGAGCATCTTGACTTCTTGAGTCTGTTTCTATGTCCATCGTTGCACTTGCAGGCATGGTTTGAATTTCAGCCCCCTACTGCTCGTGCACCCTTCAGTAGTTGCGTTCTTTCTATCCGTCATTTGCGCAGATTTACGTTGAAGCGATTTTTCTTCTTCAATGGACTAAATGTAACTGCGTCCATTGGTTCATACCTTATACTTATCCCTTCATAGAGTTTGACGATTTTCTTTTGGATTTCGGTTAGTTGTACCATCTATATATCATTACGCGTAATTATCTCATTTTGGAATCACAAGAGGTAAAAATAATGTCGACTTGAATTGATGTTATGGCGTTAACGCAACCATTGTTGCTTGCACTTCATTCTCACCTTTGGTACATCTTTTTCTGATCAATCCTGTGTCGTGGGGTGTAACTGTGTCTCTTTCACGTCTACGTAGTGTGTACATATACACATATCAAGAACAGCTCCCTGTTTTGTCCTAACTTCAGTTTTCTAGCCCTACTTGTGCAACCACCATCACTCGCTTGACTCTTCTACTCTGTTCCTTCTAACGTATGCCACATGTCTAGGTAGTGGTTGTTACTCCAACTTAATTTTATTTTTTACTGTTTGGTCTAGGTGGGCATCTTGTGCTGAGCTTGCTTGCCGTTTGGCGCGCCCATGGCGCCCAAGAGCAAGCGTGGCAAGGCCAAGGGCGAGAAAAAGAAGAAAGATGAGAAAGGTATTGTTGCCATGACACCTTGATTGGCTTTTGCTTGCAATAGTCGGAGTAGATAGTTGCTTGCTTGAGCTGATCATTTGCAAATTTCTTTGATGAATTACTAGTGCTCCCTGTGGCCATTGATATCACTGTCAACCTTCCGGATCAGTCCGATGTCATTCTCAAGGTTTAGCTTCTTGCTACCTCAGTTCTTTCTGCACTGTTTGTTTTTCTTGATGCATGATTTCAGCAACAAATATTCCTTCTTTGCTTGGTGCAGGGAATTTCCACGGACAGGATCATTGATGTGAGGAGGCTGCTCTGCGTCAACACCGCCACCTGTGCAATCACAAACTACTCCCTCTTGCATGAGGTATTTATAACGTTTCTTTTTCTCTCCATACTATATTACAGCAGCGAACATCAATTCAATCCTGTTATATTACGTCGTTTGTCGGCAGACTCGTGATGGTCACTTGAAGGATGGCGCGGATATTGCGACACTGAAGCCATATACTCTCACCCTGGTAGAAGGTACATCTTATGTCTGCAAAATAAGGATTTATTTTCTCAAGGCATCTTTAATCGAACCCAAATAAGTTTCTGATTCCCCAAAACCTTTTTTTACTTAAGTTCATCTAATCCATTCCCAAAACGTGCATAACTCCCAGAAGCCTTTTGGCTGACCCAAAAAACAACCCTCTTCTTTTTTGCGGAGGAAGAAAAAACAACCGTCCCCTTCCAACATTTTGGCTTCCACTGCTGCCACACAATTCGCTCCCCAAAACCCTAGCCACGTGCATTTTATTATTTTTAGGGTTGTTTGCTATAATAGTTAGCAAACAGTAGATGTTTTTAACATAGGTGATGGCCAAATTTATGTTATACAACTTTAATTTTAATGCATTCTTTTATTGGACTTAGATTAGAATGCAACAACGAAAAACACAGGATTTTTTGGTAGTTAGATTTTAATTAAGAGCTGGTTTTTGAAGTTAACTAGTGGGGTTGGATTAGAGATGCCCTTAAGATTTGTTAAACCCATTGTTTGTAGACGTATGCTTTGTAAATTGTACCATTGCGCACCTATACACCTGACTGCACCTTCATTTGCATAATTTTGTCTTCGATTTCCATATATCTTAGAATTACTATTAAATTCTCTTCTATAGTGTCTAGAGATAAACCATCCATAAACCCTACATCTTAAACTCTAAAAATTCACAATGCAGGGGAGTATGACGAGGATAGCGCGTTGGTGCACATACGGCGGCTGCTGGACATCGTTGCGTGCACCGCCTCCTTCGGCTCTCCGCCACCTCCGCCGCCTCCTCCATCCCCCAAGGATGCTGATGCCACCAAGGAGCCCTCCAACTCCAGCTCCAAGCCCGTAGCAGCGGCCTCCTCGGGCGGGCGCCGCACGGGCTCACCGCCGCCCCTGCCGAAGGAACCAGCTGCAAAGGATGCTGATGCAGCGGCGGCCAAGGAGGACATGGTCTCGGCGGAGCTGGAGGCGGAGATGAGCGGTGCATGCCCCCGCCTTGGAGCGTTCTACGAGTTCTTCTCTCTTGCTAACCTCTCACCGCCTCTCCACTGTAAGTAAAACCTCTCTCGCAGCCTCACCAAAACCCTGTAGTTGATCTCTCTTTTTCACGCTTCAGTTTCATGACTACTGACTCGAAACGTAAACTTATGGCCAATGCTACACGTTGGCCGACCAATCCCAGCCCAGGATCAGCCCCCTCCCGAGCTGTAGATTGCTTTTCACCGTGGCCATCGGATCTTGCCCAGCACTTGCGCATAGGAGAACAACATCCGTATCTCTTGCTCACAGGCGCGCACGGGGAAGAGACGGTGCCCACATCTCACGCTTACATGGGTGCACGGAGCCTACCCCCACTCCCCTCGCTCGCAACGCCCCACCCACGCCCGCAAGAGCCTCGCCATTGCCGGCTCACCGCATCGCACTCCATGTATGCAGCACAGCCAGCAGGCTCGCTCCTGCCAGCCCTGCTGTCATCGCAGCAGCCCTAGCCGGCGCTTGTAGCAGCGGGCGTCACTGCCCCGCTGTCGTTGCAGCATCTCCCGTCAGTGCTTGCTGCAGAGTGCGCCGCCGGTCGCAGCATTGGGCGTCCGGCTCGCAGCAGTTGCCGTCGCCGTTGTAGCATAGGCTGTCCGACTCACAGCAGTTGACGTCACCGTCATAGCACCATGCCCGCATGCTCGTAGTAGTGGCCGTCGCCGCTCACAGCACCCAGTCGTTGCTGTTGCAATAGTGTGGCCCTGGCTCGCAGCAGGAGCCGTCGCTGTAGCAGCACCGTATCCGCGCGCTCGTAGCAGTGGTTGCCGCCGATCGCAGCAGTGGTTGTCGCCGTCGCATCACCCGGTGGTCAGCATCACAGCACCTTGTGATCACCGTCGTAGCACCGCCTTACAGTAGCGACAGCAACAGCGGTAGCAGTCTGGGTGCACAGTGATCTGAGGGGTTTGTAGCAGCGACGGCGCAGCCTGGCAGTGCGGTGGTCTGAGGTTGCAGCAGCGTCAGCAGCAGTGAAGGTTGAGGCGCTGGGGAAAAAGAGAGGGGGAACAGAATGATGCGGTCGCGGTCCTCGCCGAAGAGGAATGAGTGGCGGCAAACTTGTGCAGAGATAAGACTTAGACGCTTAGGGACCACATGAGCGGTGCGTGGGGCCCATGGGGACGCCAGATTAGAATGGGATGCCCGATGCTAATCGTTCTACTAAGCTTGTTCGCAACAAAAGAACATTAAGGTGCTGTAGTACTGCCAACATTTGAAATGGGACTAACAGGGTCCTGAATCAAACAATATGACTTCCTTGGGAAATTTTGGCAGCCTCAGTTTATATTTGGAACCTCTGCCTTGACCTATTTGTCCATATATCTTTGCTGTCGGCTTCACCATGGTTTGTCCTTGAGATGGTAGTTCATGCAATTTAACACTTTCATTACTTTGAATGCTAAGCATGAGATATCAGCTTGAACTTTGTAGAGCTGAACATTTCTCTGGCGAGGCAAATTCTTCCGTTTGCTGAGTTATTTTAACTCTTTCGATCAGTTATAAAGCGAGTGACTCAACCTCGACAGGAGGAGCAACCGTCTGATGACCATCTCTTCTTCCTTGAGGTAATAATGGATAATAGTTGTATCTTTGACAGCACTTTTGCGCTAAGATCCCTGCTAAGTACATTGCATGTGTCCTAATTGGAGAACTGTTGGCTTTCTTTCAGGCAAAGCTTTGTAATGGGAAATTTGTCATTGTTGAAGCTCGGAGAAAGGGGTTCTTTAGTTTTGGGAAACAGCGTGTTTTGTGCCACAATCTTGTCGACCTATTGAGGCATCTCAGCAGAGCATTTGATAATGTTCGTTTATCTCACATTCTGGTTATAGCTTTTATATTAGGGTAATATAAATTGTTGTCTAATAATCTGCATTCATTATTGTATTACCTTTGTTATTAAATATCCCACTTAAAGCTGTAGCCACTTCTGGACCAATGAACTGATATACACTTTAGAGATGAATGCAGTAAATAACAGCTTGATTTTGAATCTATTTTAATGTATATATGCGTGTGAATATTTGTGTTGTGTGTATGTTTTTGTACAGTAGTAACTGAGAGAAGATGAAGCATAATTAGGATAAAATTCCTAACTTCCCTCAGCTGCAAGATATTTGAATTGGCAAAGTCTATTTTGGCAGCAGCACCGAGTCCTTCACCTTTCAAGTTTATACTGCTGAAAATAACTATCTGCATTGCTGTATTTTCTGGCAGATATGGGAGGACTACTTAACTCACAATTTCACTTAGTCAGATTGAAACTATGTACTAAAAATTTGATACTTGAGCATGCCAGTGCATTGTTGTAGTTTTTGAAAATGGAATTTGCCAAAACTGTACAATGGCACGGTGTCAAATTCCTATTCTAGAAACTACTTGTGGTTCTTAATTGCCAACAATTTGATAGCACCATTTAAGTATTTCTGTAAGCAACTGTGTGGTCTCATTTTTCGTATCTCTAATTCTTTTCTATGACCTTGTTATATGAATTTAACCCTTTGTGGTGTTTCCATATATATTAGGCATATGAGGATCTTATGAAGGCATTTTTGGAACGGAACAAGGTGTGTTGTTACCCCTTTTTGGGTGTTTCGCTGTACCTATCTTTTTCTAAATTCAATGGAAACTTTTCACAAGATCGTGACTTTGTGCTTGTATTATTGTGTGCTTGGGCATAATGATTCATCTGAAAAGGAGTGGAACATATTTTAATGCATTTTAAGTAGCAGACAACAATTTGGGTTGTCTTCTAGAAATATCTACCTTCTACAGTTATGCTGATGTTCATATTCAGTATCTTCCATTTGGTGCTCCTCTAGTATGTTGCGCTTGATTATTAAATATTTACGTGTAGCTTGATAATGAATCATGTTTTTGTAAACCAGCTGTTCCATGCGCCATCAGACAACATTTTTCCTATTTAATGCTGCATCATGATCTAACTATATCTGCTTGTATGTTGCAGTTCGGAAATTTTCCTTATGGTTATCGTGCAAATACATGGCTTGTTCCTCCGATTGCTGCCCAGTCACCATCAACATTTCCTCCCCTTCCTGCTGAGGATGAAACTTGGGGAGGCAATGGAGGTGGTTGGGGAAGGGATGGCAAAAGTGACATGTTGCCATGGGCAGATGAGTTCATGTATCTCACATCCATGCCTTGCAAAACTGCTGAGGAGAGGGAAATTCGTGACAGGAGAGCATTCCTACTGCACAGTCTATTCGTAGATGTTGCCATCTTTAGAAGTATTGCAGCCATCCGGTATGTAATGGAGAGTACAGATGTATCAACATCAATCAAGACAGATGAGGTCTTGCATTCTGAGACGGTTGGAAATTTTAGCATCACTGTCACAAGAGATTCTTCAGATGCAAGCTGCAAGCTGGACACTAAGATAGATGGAAGCCGAGCCACAGGAATGGACTCTAAGCATCTTGCAGAGAGAAACCTTTTGAAAGGAATAACTGCAGATGAAAACACTGCTGCACATGTATAAGTTCAAAATTAAGGTGATCTTTCTCATATTCAGGTAAAAGAGTGTCTTTTCTTAATTTTGTCTCTAATTTGCAGGATGTTGACAGTTTGGGCATCGTGAATATTAGATACTGTGGATATGTTGCTGTAGCAAAGGTTAACAATTACGAGAAAACTATTGTGACTTCTTTTAAGCCTGCTGATATCACGGATCAACCTGAAGGGGGTGCTCATGCATTGAACATTAACAGGTTGGTAGCAATGCTTTGTGTTGTTTTTCTAGTTATCCACGAAGTTTATGCTGCTTATCCCATTTTTTCATTATTATATATATTTATTGTTTTTAGTTTGAGGATGCTCCTAAATGAAGCCAATGCAACTGGAGAAAAGAAGTTACCAACACAAAGTCATATGCTGGAAGAACTAACTGCAGCACAAACTTATGCTGAGAACGTGTTGAAGGAAAGTCTTCAAAATCTTGAGGAAGAGGAGACTGATAAACAATCATTTATGAGATGGGAACTTGGTGCCTGTTGGGTTCAGCACTTGCAAGATCTGAAAAAATCTGACAAAGACAAAAAACAAGGTGATGGGAAGGAAAAGAAGAAAATGGTAGACAAAGATGTGAAAGAGACAAAGATTGAAGGGCTTGGGAAGCCTCTCAAAGCTCTTAAGCATCCGAAGAATGCGGTTGATGCTTCTGGCAAGGGGTCCTCATCAGGGAACAAAAGTTTGACTGATGCAACAAGCTCTGGGGAAAGCCAGAAAGTCAAGCCATCATCTGTTGAACCGCTTCAAGGAGACTGCATCACCTCTGAGAATGAAATCTTGTTGAAGGATGTATTACTGGATTCCGCCTTTACAAGGTTAAAAGATTCAGAAACAGGACTCCACCAGAAGGTAGAAATTCATTAATTTTCATAGCAAGTGATGATTTCACATCTGCCCTTTGGTGTTCTGCATATCCAACTCATACCCTCCTCATTTCAGCATTTAGTTTCAGAAAATAAATGTCCTATTTAAAATAGAGTTTCCTTCACTGTGATTACTAATCTTTGGCAATTATATACAATTCATATATAACTGTCAGCATTACAGTTCATGTGATATTTTGTTTGCTAATATTGGGGATATCATTGTATGCCGTGGAGAGGTTCATGAAATGTGTTCTTACCCTACTAACAAGCTCAAAGTTGTGTAGCCTACCTCAGGCGCACTAGGGGTTGATAAATAATAGTGTGGTTTGCTAGGGGCCATGCTTTCCCTGTTAACCAACCTACACATGTTTGAAGCCTCGCTTCGGCAGGGTGAGGACGCTTGTTCTTCTAAATTAAAATTTCACTGGTGCTAGCCTGTGGCCGAGTGATTTTTACACCAGCGTGTAGTAGTTTCAAACAACATCAGATATGCAAGTTTTTTCACCTTTTTTGATTTTGTCGGATCCACTTCTGAATTCTACAAATAAAATCAAGTGTATGAAACATACTGGGTATTATTTTAGCACGCTTGCTTACCAAGCGGCCATCCGTAGCTACTAATCATGAATAAAGTTCATAGACTAATCTCTTGTGCTCCACAGTCACCATCTGAGTTGATTGAGATGGCTCTGAAGTTCTATGATGAAGTTGCGCTTCCTAAGCTGGTATGCATCATTATATGAAACATGAATAAGTTCCCACATACTTATCCTTTTTAGTCAAGAAGCATAATAGCTAACCAAGAAATTATTTAGGTTGCCGATTTTGGTTCTTTGGAACTTTCACCTGTTGATGGTAGGACATTGACAGATTTCATGCATACCAGGGGCCTACAGATGCGCTCCCTAGGACAAATTGTAAGTTTGTAACAATTTTTTCATTTGAACATGATGGATGCCAGTTCTTCTTTAGTGCTTGATATGTGCTAATCTAAGAATACCCTATGTAGGTCAAACTTTCAGAGAAGCTCTCACACGTACAGTCTCTTTGTGTGCATGAAATGATAGTGAGAGCATTCAAGCATATTGTCCAATCTGTTATTGCAGCTACTTCAGACATGAGACAATTAGCATTAACAATAGCTGCAGTGCTGAACTTACTTCTTGGTGTTCCTGAATCTGAATTTTCTGGAAGTTCTCCTGCTGTGCATCCCCTGGTGTGGAGATGGCTTGTTGCCTTCTTGAAAAAGCGATACCAGTATGAGCTCACAGGGCAACATTATGATGATGTGAGGAAATACGCTATATTGAGAGGACTATGCCATAAGGTAAACATGTTTTAATATCTTTAACATTTCTCACGCCCGGTGCATTTTATTGAGATTAAAGGTTGCTTTTAGGTGGGCATTGAATTGGCACCGCGAGATTTTGTCATGGATTCTGCTTTCCCGTTTTGCAAACAGGATATTATTAGCCTTGTGCCCGTACATAAGGTAAAAGTATTTTTCTCAGTCAATTGTTTTTATCATACAAAAATCACATTGTGCTGTCATGGCTTGTTCATCACATATGACTATCAGTGTTTTGAGAACTTGGTAGATATAATGAGTGGCACATAAACACAACTGATGTGTTTTTTCAAAAATGCAGCAAGTTGCGTGCTCATCTGCAGATGGAAGGCAACTTCTAGAATCCTCTAAAACAGCTCTTGACAAGGGTAAACTTGAAGATGCTGTTAATTATGGAACCAAGGTACCTTCTTGTAAAATCTTGTGCATTTCTTTTGGCAATTCCTTAGCTGTCATATCTTGGGGACTCATAAATTATTCTATGTATGAATGCAGGCCCTTGCCAAGCTCATAATGGTGTGTGGTCCCTATCATCGAATGACGGCTGGAGCTTATAGCCTTCTAGCTGTTGTTTTGTACCACACTGGTGATTTTAATCAGGTAGATGGTTATTCAGCTGCACAGCACATAGTCTATAATAATTGTTATGCATGTTTTGAAGACAATGGAAGTGATAGCACTGTTTAGTTAAGTGAGGATTATTGAGCATGAGATGATATAAAGACTTACGCCATTGCACTTTCTTTATGTATGTATTTGTTTAGACTTAGAAATAATATATACTTTTAGCATTCTTTGCTAAGCATACTTTCAGTTACAATGTGAGCGAAAGATACATAAAGGTGTTATTGGGTTAGACTAACTATAACATCGAAGGAATATGTAGTGAAGATACAGAACAAATTCTGATAAAACTGAGATTTTCTTGTATTTTTAGGAGGATCAGCAGATGTAAAGTTTTTCTATCAGTGTTCTGCACATTTCATTTCATTAGATCTACCAAGTTCATTATATCAGTGTTATGTGCATTTCATCACTATGACTATCAGTGTTTTGGACATTTCAACATCAGCAGATCTAACGTTTTTCTGCATATTAATAACTAGTGAAGTTGAAATGTGCCAGCAAGTGTTCTATTTTGTTTTTGAGAAAAGTCACCCAAAGAGCATTTTTACAAGTAACAAGGAAAACATAGGCGGTACAATGGAGTTATGGACACAAAATGGTCAGCAAAATGGCAGCACTTATGTAATGCCCTCCCAGCACTGGAGATATCTCAGATACAATCCGACAGGAATATCTATCCAATCCAGCACACAACCGCTTAACACTCTCCTGTGACTAAGGGGTTTCCGTTGTTCGTTGGAGCAGGCAAATAAATGATCTGTGTTGTTTCCAAACAGTTTTACTATCTGCAGTTATAGATACATATGCATGTGTTTTAAATCACAAAATAGGAATCTTTTAATCTTTTGTCCTGCATATATAATGAAATTACCTTCATGGAAATTGCGTAAACGATAACAATTCAATAATTTTCTGCACTTCTACCTCCCATTCCCGTATGACGCTGTCACCATTAATCTTCTTTACCCATGATGCCAATGTAATTAAAAATGATAGTTAATAGTTAAACAGCTCAAATGTAATATGCATGTATCCTGTATGTCATATTATGAGAAATAATCTAATTTTCCCTAATGGCTCCTTTGTCAAATACTTTCCGCGTATGCCATATAAAATTACCTAGTAAGGCTCAGCGGCTTGTTATAATGGACAAACCCCAAGTGTACATTATCATATATCAGATCAGTGAAACTTCATCTTGGCCTGTTTTGGGGCTTTATTGCCTTCTGTTTAGTTACTTAGAAGTTAGAACACTGGAGCCAGCTGAACTGATGCTTTGGATATCGGTGTGTTTGTGGTGCCTCATAAAATGCTTGATAGTTATTTCAAACTCATGATCTACTTTTCTATCCTAGCATTTAATTATCTATAGGCACAGTATAATATGTACCTAAAAATTTGCAGGCTACAATATATCAGCAAAAGGCCCTAGACATCAACGAGAGGGAACTTGGGCTTGATCACCCTGATACGATGAAGAGTTACGGAGACCTTGCTGTTTTCTACTATCGTTTACAACACACAGAACTGGCTCTGAAGTAAGTTCAATTTATGAAATACTACTTTTTTTATTCCATGCAGAAAATCTAGTTTCACAAGGGCTGAGCAAAATAGTCACTCCAGCTGTAACTTGAAGAGAAGTAGCATATATCCAAAAGAGTAGGAGACCTCCTTTAGGATATTTTATATCTAGTAAAGTGCTATGTCAAGTTGATGAAGTTTGCCAAATAAAATAGTCTTGCTATTGCTGCCAAGAATATATTTTACTATCTCTCACGTTAAAACTATTTTTTTTCACAGAATTATTATGTCAAATGTGCATATTTGGTTCTCTCTCTCTCTATGCTATTTGGATTAAAAAACTAATCTTGTCATATGAAAGAAACGCTAAGAGTGAGCAGGAACTAGTTGCTTAGTCGTTTGAGTGCCCGATTTCTTTGTAGTTTAGTTTTGTGTCTGAGGTGCTATCTCTCAGCTCTCACTCCATCAATGTTAATTACAACAGTTGAAATAATATAACTAGACCCGAGCATGAATACCGTCAACATATAACCATCAAACATAATGCTGGCAGATGTTACAAACTCATAAATAGTTAAATACTAAGTGAATCCTTAGGTGGTGATATGTTCCCCTTATGTTTTAGCTTAACCACAAGCATATGTAGTACTCCCTCAGTTCACAAATATAAGATGTTTTGGATATTTCAATATGGACAAACGGGCTGAAATGAGTGAATGAACACACTAAAATGTGTCTATATACATCCTAATCAGAAAAAAAGTTCGAACATTTTATAATAGTGAATGGAGGGAGTATCTTTTTTATTCTTGGGCAAGATTGCAGAGGGTAAAAGTGGTATGGTATTTTCTTCTAGCCTCAAATTATTAAATTATTAATTGCTGTCATGTAAATCTCTTCTTGAGGATGGATCAAATTCCCTTAAGCTCGTATATCTTTAAAGGCCGAAGATTCAATAATTGTTTATTTACCTGTGTATGAGCTTGTCTTGAAGATTATTTCATGGATATCAAAGCTATTGCGTTATGTGAAAACCTAAGGGTCTGAATAAACAGCAGGGTGCTATACCTGCTATCCTTTTGATACTCCTTGCAGTGTACAATCCTAGTGATTTAGACTCATTGCTACAGTGTATACAAAAAATTAACCTTTGGTGCAAATTAGGTACGTCAAGCGTGCATTATATCTTCTACATCTTACATGCGGGCCATCTCATCCAAACACAGCTGCAACATATATTAATGTAGCCATGATGGAGGAAGGCTTGGGCAATGTGCATGTAGCTCTTAGGTACTTGCACAAAGCTTTAAAATGCAACCAGAGATTACTTGGGCCTGATCATATCCAGGTAATTTTCTTTCTCAATATTAAGGAAACATTTTAAAAAATTCTTCTGGCAAATGGCGTGCTTTTGTTAGTGAGATAATTGTTAAATATGAAAGATGTTCATTTCATGCCTCTTTACAAATCTCACTTGTTGACTTAGACAATAATCAGAAAATCTTAAGTTGATACCTTCAATGACTTAACAAGTTGTGGTGAATGCCAAAAAATCATCAACAAATTGTTAGTCGGTTCCAGGAGACATGTCTCGATGATGAGTCAAATTATTGAAGGCCAGGTGTTGCCAAGACCGTATCATTGGACCCCTCTAGGCCCAGATATGGGCCATGGAGACCAAGATCCACATACTCGTTCTAGTACCACTGTCAGGACAAGACAAAAATCCATCAACAACATGGGAGTATGATTCCGCGCATCAGACTTCGGGTCTTTCTTGCTTGCCTTGCTCTTTACATAAATGTGCCTCTTGGGAAAACACTTGCTTGTGCTCCTGGTGGCCGGAGATTTTCCCAGCCTACACAATTATAGATGTGAGCTCATAAGCTCGCCCCCTCTTGTGCGCCACACATTTTATGTGCATAAATAGTGGCGTGCACATCCATGGTTCTAATCTCAAAAAGAAAATTGTAGAATCACGATGAGGAGCATTCGGTTTGGTACATGCATGGAGCTTCAAGTTAGTTGTATACTTGCATAACCAAGAAGTTACATCAAGATCACTATGAGAAGCATTCGGTTTGATTATTAACCTAGATCTACTCTACTGGTCGTCGCCCTTCTCCTCGTCGACTAGGTCGATGTACACCGAAACCGGCCATGGATATGGCCACGCTCCTGGTGCAATGGCCATGGACACCGGCGTGCGGAGTGGCGTGGTTGGCACCTCCTGCTGCTCCGGCTCCACCCACTCGAGCGAGCAAGGCACTATGGTCGTCCACCCCCACGAGTGCCCACAAGCGATGCCAGTGGCCACGGCTCCTGCTGCTCTGCCGCGGGCGCGATGGCCGATTCGGCCATCAGCACCTTTGGCAGTCCAGACCACTCAGCGAGCTTGTCCAGCTGGGAGTCCTCGAGGACCTTCTTGAAGGCCTCATCCCCTCTTTCACTACGGGCCGCGCGGCGGCTCATGCGCTCGAGCACGCGCACGATGGGGATGTGCTGGAGCATGGGGCGCTAAAGCGCCGAAGAACAACTAGCATCGTGCGTCATGCTCGCATAGAACCATGTGTCCCAGTGCGGCAAGTCCTTAGCAAACGCCAGTTCGTGGCGGAGGTCATCGGGAGCTGAGCCCGACGGCGGCAGATCTCCTTAACCGTGCGCATCCCGAGGCTGGAACGGCCGGCACTGGAACCCTCTCCGGGTTCAGATGCCACCCATTCGGCAGGTGGACGTCGGGCCATGGCACGGGGATGATCTCGTCCCAGTAGCGCTGGCACTGGTCGACGGTGACGTAGACGTGTTCCCGCAGCGGCGCCGCCCTGAGGAAGAGGCGGCCTCGTGGTCATGCTTCACAGGGGTCCACTTCCACGACATTTTCCTTGGCGATGGGCAGTGGCGAGGGTTGACACCCCCCGGCACGTTTGCATTAAAAAGGACCTGCTCTGTGGTAGTTGGGTCACTGGCGCGTGGGGCCAGAGCGGATCCGTCTACTGTCAGTGTGGACGCAAACCCGATCCAAATTTGGGGTGGATTTGCAAGAATGGGAATGGGTCGGCCACTCGCCGCCTGCAGCAACGGGGTGAGTCGCCACAGCCACGGGCATGACGAGCATGTGACTAGCCCGGCGAGACGTCACGCGCCGCTACCACCAAGTCCGAATGTGAAGAGCGGAATGGAGTCAGACTGCCAGAGGCGGCAGCGCCAGTGACGTGACCGGCTGAGCAGTCAGCGCCGCCTCGTGTCGTGGAAGCCACGTCCTCTTCATGCTCCGGTTCGCCGTGGAGGCTGGAGGGGGAAGACCTCTCTGGCCCTGCGCGTGGCCAGCACCGGTCTCACCAGCCGCGTCCCTAGCCACCTAGCACGGCGGCGGGGGTGGCGACTGCTGCACTGGGTGAGGAGGGGCTGGCCTCGGTTGTCGCACGAACACGATGCAGTCTCGTCCCTGGTGACCGAGCACGGTGGCAGAGGTTGCAGTGTCTGGACGCACCAGCGACGTGCATGCGGAGGAGCGAGTTGAGGAAGCGTCGCAGGGTGTCCGTGCTGGCTCACATGTGCCCCAACTCAAGAAAACGCAAAAGCTTTGTGCCCCGATGCATTTCAGACCCAGAAAGAATTTCTTTTTTTTTTAATCATTTCCATAACTAACTATTGGGTTCAAGTGACATATTCTTCTGTGTATGTAGACTGCTGCAAGCTACCATGCTATCGCCATTGCTCTCTCGTTGATGGAAGCTTATTCGTTGAGTGTTCAGCATGAGCAGACAACCTTGCAAATCCTTCGTGCAAAGCTTGGACCAGATGATCTTCGGACTCAGGTTTACTTCTACTAAGTGATATTATTGAAATGCTGAAAACCTAGCCCCTCTGTTACCAACGGATGTCATTTTAGAATACATTTTGTATAAAAGAATTAACTTTGAGCATTAATATAAACTAATGTATTTTATTTTAAATACGAAAATAATATTAGTTGATTTTTCCATCAAAGTTCTTCTGTAATACTAGTTGTGCATTTGAAAGCAAGTCAATGCCCAAATGACATCTACTACCTCTGTTCCTAAATATATGTCGTTGTGGGAGTTCAAATACGACATATATTTAGGAACGGAGGTAGTAGTTTGTAACAGAAGTACCTCGATTAGTTTCCCACTTGAACTATTATCTTAGCTATATGAAGAGAATCGTTCCCTTTTCATTTATTTACAAGGACATCCTTAATATTGTTGCCTTCCACATTACAGGATGCTGCAGCCTGGCTTGAATACTTTGAATCGAAAGTAATTGAGCAACAAGAAGCTGCCCGCAATGGAACTCGAAAACCTGATGCATCAATAGCTAGTAAAGGACACCTAAGGTGCGATTTAGTTCTGCCAATGAAATCACAGTTAATCCTTAGAGAAACTTCTATTGTGTTGTGCTAGCTAGTGCACAGCACATAAGCTGGCATCAGTTATCATAGATATTTTTAGATGCTGTGGATTGTTTTGGACTATACAGATGCTGTATTGACTCTATTTGTTTGCACTTGCAGTGTATCTGATCTTCTTGATTACATCAATCCCAACGAAGAAAACAAAGGAAGAGATTCTGAATCAGGCAAGAGGAGATACTCAAGCATAAAGGTTAGTTGCTAACTTTTACTTTGGATTATGCCATCATCAAGGAACAAGGTTAATTAAGACAGAAATCAGAGCCATGAAATGGTTACCATGGTGTAGTAGTGTTAAATGAATAATTAAACTCATAATGCAATTGGTCAGTGTCTTTCTACCCCAGAGTGTATTAAACTCTCCTTAATTGGGCAACCAATTTTTGTATCTTTCATGGATTGAGCCTATGCCGGCGGCTCATATTTATTCTGTAGTGTTCGAATATGATTTCTGTCCCTAAGGAGCTCTTATCATGGTAGCAGCTCACTGAATATCTATGGTTAATACTAACCTATCCAATCAAGTACTGTATTTGATATCGCTACTGTGTAAGTGTGTATGTTAGATAATCTGGTCAGGTAATTTTGATGATTATCTTTGTCTATACAGTTTCAGTCCTACCAATTCAGACAGGCCCTTCCTGTGTATCTGGAACTCAATGAACCTGGTTTCCTTTTTTTCATGATGCTTAAAGTTACACTACAATTTCCTTCTGTGAAAACATTCATGTTACCACTGAAATTACTTGACCTTTGGTATTTTAGCAATACTGTACATGGCACTTTAGAATTTATTCATTGTATACTCATCCTTTCAGGTTTTATCACATTCGAATGAGAATTCAAACGTAGCAAGTCCTGATATATCTCCAAGAGATTCTGCTATTGCAATCAAAGACGAGGAAAAACAAATTAAAGAGCCGTTGCAAGATGATAGTGCTAATATCATGGATACTCCTGAAACTGAGGTTAAAGAGAGTCCTTTACCCTTGGAGGCTTCACCACCCTCTGAACAGCTGGTAGAGAGATCTGAGGTGAACATCAGTTCACCTGAAGTTTTTGAAGGTGAAATACTAGAACAGGATGATGGCTGGCAGCCTGTTCAAAGACCTAAATCAGCGGCAGTTTTAGGTAAACAGATAAAGCATTACCGTGCTGCCATCAGAAGATATGACCCTGAGAATCATGCTCCAACAGATGCTTCCCAATATAAGCCAAGGAATTCCTATTCAAATAACCGTTATTACTTCTTAAAGAAGAGAACTGTCGTACCTGCAGCATACACAGATCCTCAGCAGCATATGAAAGTCCAGACATCAAGTGCCAGGTTTGGTCGTAAGACATACAAGGCTATGACCTACCGGGTTAAGCCAGGGACAGCATCCGCGGAAGTGCAAGATACTTCTAGGATCACAGAGCAGATGAGTGGTAAAGAAGAATCCCAAATAGCTTATTCACATGTACACAATCGTTCAGCAGATCTGAAAGGATGTGAGCCACATGGACCTTGGGTTGAAAGTACTGGAAACCCACCATCATACAAAGATGTTGCATTGGCACGTCCAGGTACAATAGCCAAGACTCAAATACAAAAACCTAGAGATGATGTACTGCAACCATCACTTGGTCAAATTATCGCACAAGAAATGAAGGATTCCTTGGTAGATGCAGTTCAAGTGGACCAGAGGTCCGTGTCCTCAAGTACCAATAATTCCAAAGAGGTAAACATTGTGCCAGCAGAGATGCAGCATTCAGAAAAAAGAGAAGAGTCACATAGGGAACAAGAGATTGACAACACCGAGAAAGATAGTTTACCAGATAAGATAACAGCAGATAATGAGAAACCTTCTGGCATTGGCCCTGCAGATAGTAAAACAGACACGACCTTATTCAGTAACGAAGATCAAGAACCAACAAGTAGTGACAATTTTGGTGCTGCCACTGAGTTCTCAGATTCGACAGTACCCACAGAAGCTGAAAAGAGTGGAAAATCTGGCATACAATTTCTTGAAGAATCTCTACCTACTAATAGTGAACCTATTACAGTCTCAGAGCATGCAATAAGTATGCAGGGAGGCGTTGGAGGTGTTGAAAGTGAGAAGTCAAAGCCTGACTTGCTTCTAAGTAATATTGATATAAGAGAGATATCTAATAAGAAGCTATCTGCTGCTGCACCTCCATTCAATCCTTCTCCTCCAGCTACCCTTAGCCCACTTGCTGTAAGTGTCGGTCTCTCACCACCAGGTGCCGTTCCAGGCGTCGGCCCTTGGCCTATGAATGTCTCCATGCATCCTGGACATTCAAGTATGGTGCCAAACGGTCCTCCTCTGTGCACATCCCCACATCATTTGTACCCGCCCGCTCCTCGGTCTCCTAATCTCTTGCATCCTGTGCCATTTCTTTATCCACCATATAGTCAATCGCAGATGGTTCCAAGCAGCACATTTCCCATGAACACTACTATTTTTCGCCCTAACCATTATGGATGGCAACCTTATATGAGCCCAGTTGCATCTGAGTTTGTGCCTGGACCAGCATGGTCAAACAATCATCCAGTCGCTTACACCCCCAGCCCACTTGTTGCTGACACTATTTCTCAGTCTCTAGCAGATTCACACGTCCTATCTGATGCAGCTGTTGTTAGTATAGGACCTTCAGTGGACAGCAATATGGTTGCAGTAAAGGAGGAAATGGAGGTCCCTGTGGAGGTAGACAGTGGTAATTTTATCCGCAATAATATTTTGGGAGAAGAACATGATAAAGAGTTAAAGGATGCTGTTAATGCTGCACTTAATCCTCAGACGCTAGGAGACAGCACATTTGATATTGGTGGAACGAAACTGGGAGGCAACATGAAGAATGAAGATGAGGGTAGCTTTAGGATATATGTAAAGGGGAAAAGCAGGCGAAAGCAAACTCTGAGGATCCCGATGAGTTTGCTTAACAAGACATATAGCGCACGTTCCTTCAAGCTTGACTTCAACAGAGTAGTCAGAGAGAGTGATATTTTCAGGCCATCGGGCGTTTCTTTTGCTGAAGTAGTTTCTTCTGGCGACTGAGGAATATTCCACCAGAGTCAAATATTTACCTATGACATTATTACCCAAAGAGAATTCGATGGATCTCCATTTGAAAAATACTGAAATGTGACTCTTATTTTTATCTGAGCATTCGGAAGGCAGCAACAATGCTCCTTCAGTGTTCCAGGTAATCATTCTTACAGATATTTTAAGAACTTTTTGCTCCCCTATTATAGATCTCAATCATCTAATATGCTAGGTGTCGATTTCAAATGTTCTAGATCTGAAATTAATCAATCCAAGCTACTCTGAGAAGATCAATGTGTTTTCTTTTCCGACTTCAAATAAGGTATGGCTCCCTTCTCAGTTATCATTTTAGCGTGTTACATGTTGAATTTGTTTGTACCCCATATACAGATCAGTTTTGGGTGTAGTTCTTGGTAATGATTACATTTTGCTATAAGCATTTATAAAAAGATTAGTGTTCTTTGAAGCACCTTTGGGACCTACAGAGTCATCACGCATGTAAAGAGGGGGTTAGTTAGTCACTGCTCCAATAAAAGGATGGGTAGGAGAAAACTTACCTTATTTTCTCAGTTCAGCCAATGTTTAAGTACAAAGTTTTCATGTTATATCTTTCATCTATGTATTAATAGTAGAATAGCATAGCATGTTTTCTTGCTGTTTATTTGCAGCTTCCACGCTAACTGTTCTCTGTTCACACGTTGCTCTCAGGTGTCAGACAATTCCGTGTGGAGTGTAGCAGATTGCCGAGAGTTTTGCGAGATCCGGGACCAATACAAGGTGGAAGTGTTAGCAAAAAATACATGGCAGACTGATTCTTTACTAAAATTTTGATAGACTAAGTAGAATATTTTCCCCCAAAATTTGGGCTAAATTTTGGTGGTATGGAACTTAGCTTCTAGAAACTTAGAAATTTGTTTGCTCCTGCATCCTGTAATAATCTGTCGTGTCTTTTGTGAGAGAAACTAATGTTATTCTTTTGATGAGAATAGTAATAAGAGCACCTCCGGCAGTTCACTTCTCCCCAATAAATTTTCTGTGATAGAAGATCTGAACCAAAAAAAAAACGTACTCTAGCAGCTCCCCTCCTTTCAATAAATTATTTTTGTGATCATAAAAAATAGTCCCACTGTTACCTTCGCAACGTACTCAATGTGGGCCTCGTGGACGGGCAGATAGCAGATCCCGTAAACCTTCGTTCTGTAAAATGGTTTTAGAGGATATTGTAAATGACAATTGTATTTTCTGAACGTTCGGATTTTGTCAACAGATCGGAACGAGGCGGTCGCCATCCGATCCGCTTCTCGCGCGCGCACTACTGCAGGATCCGTTTCTCCGATCCGCTTCTTGCACGTGCACTGCAAAGATTTTGCGTTGTAAAAAAGTGCGCCCATGGGAGTTAAACCCCCAACCTGCAGGTTCGGGTACAGGTGCGCTACCACCCAGGCAAAGCTTGCTTCTTTGTTTCTAATTCAGGTTAGCTAAGTTTTATACTCTATTTGAGAGCGGGAAAAACGAAAATGCTTTTGAAGAGGGGGCTGACCCATATGGACCAAGTTATATTGGAAGGATCGGTGCATTGGGTTTGTCGATGACTAATTTTTGAGAAATGAATGTGTCTCTTCATGTAGAATTCAAACTCCGATCATTGTCTTGTGTGTAACTTGCGGACTTTTTTTTGTTTGAAATATACATTGGAGAGTATTTTAATTTACACACCACAGAACATGGTAACTTACATACAAACACTACAATAATTTTTTTGACCCGGATTTTTTGCTGTTAAAATGTAAGATCAGATAACCTACACGTCAACACCGCGGTAACCATTTTTTTACCTGAAATTTTTTGATACAATATACCTCCGGTTTTATTCTGTATAAATAGCATGGTAATTTAGGAATCGTAGACCTGATAACTTACGTGCCAAGACAGTGATAACCTTTTTATTCACCAGAAAAGAAAGTTGATGAAATATACCCTGATAACTTCTGTTTGAATAGCATGGTAATTTTCACATCGCATACCTGATAACTTATGTACCTCGGGTCTGGTAACTTTGATGGGGGAGGGGGGATTTGTCGGAACATACAACGGTAACTTCTGTGCAACTATCATGATAATTTACACACACTGACCTGATAACTTACGTACCCTTAGCATGGTAACTTTGACCCGAAGGGAAAAGTATGAAAATACCCCGATAACTTCTTTGTAAAGAGCATGGTAATTTATGACCACATCCCTCATAACTTACCTAGAAACATTGCCATAACTTTTGACCCCGGGAATTTTTTCTGTTTGAAAACATATCACCGGTAATTTCTGTGTAAATATGATGATAATACACACACTCAGACCTGGTAGGTTACGTACAAACATGGTAACTTTAACCCAAAGAGAAAATAGTTGAAACATGCCCAGATAACTTCTATGTAAGTAGCATGGTAACTTCCGTACCACAGACGTGCTAACCTAGATACAATCACCATGGTAAGTTTGACGCAAGGGAAAAAGTTATCGAAAAACATCACCCTGATAACTTCGGTGTAAATAATATGACAATATACACAACGCAGACCTGATAACTTACGTATAAAACAATGCGTTAACTACGATGCATCTTTGACGACTTTTGTCAATCTCAAGATGAAATATCGGCTTAGTCTCTCGAATGTGCTCATATGGGTAGGGTGTGCGTGTGTGTTTTTATGAGTGAGTATATGTGCGTATGTATGAGCGTCCGCGTCTGTATCGTGTTCAAAAAAAACTTTGGCGGAGAATGAGGAGGGGACATAATTATTGAAAAACATATCCGTAACGTATGTGTACATATGATATGTACGAATCACAAACCTGGTAATTTACGTATAAATACCATTATAACTTCGACGCATGGATAAAGTAGTTGAAACATACCTTGGTAACTTCAGTGCAAACACCATGATAAGATATGTACTGCAGGGATGATAACTTACATAATCCAGACGTGATAACTTTTGATCTGAAAAAAATATCATCGAAACATACCAATATGGGATCTCATTTCGAAGATCTCGTCGCAATGATTTTTTATGTGAAAACGGATTTTCAATCGGAGCGACGGTTCGAGCTACAAAACATTTTAAATTTTAATTTTCAATGGAATCGTTGCTGATGTCAGCAATTCTGTTTTATATGCATGCATGCATGCATGTTTGAATATGCAACGCTTGTTCTCATCCACCTTAAAAAAAAAGAAGTAGAAAGCAGGCTAGGATTCAGACGAGGAAGGGAGCGAGGCTAGGATTTAGATCGTTCGGATCTATTGTATAGATACGAACGTTTGGAACATATCGTTGTCTAACGCCCACACGTGTGGTGGGAGCCAAATCCGCCTACACGTCTTATAGCACATATACTACGATATGTCACTGCATGCATGCATGTGGAAATCTTTTTTGATTTTCTGTTTTTGAAATGTTTTATCTCTTAAATGAAAAATCCGATTGAAGATCCGTTTTCATCATTAAATCCCCCTCGACGAGATCTTTGAAACTAGATCTCATACCAATATATTTCGACGAATTTTTTTGAGTTAAAAGTTGCCATGTCTATTGCACATGAATTGCCATGATGTTTACACTGAAGTTACCATGATATGTTTCAGCTATTTTCTTCTACATTTGAAACTAAATTTTGACATATTATAAAATGAGGAATTAAGAAACTAGACTTGCCATGCACCATAAATTAAAATTGCCATGATACATGCACTTAAAATTGCCCTGGTTCATACAAAAAAGTATTTTCATGATCAAAGTACTGGAATTGCCATCATCGAAAAACTAAAATTGCCATGATTTACAAACTAAAATTGCCACATGGCAACTTTAGTTTAAGCACTATGGCAACTACAGTGTAAACATCGTGGCAACTTTTGGGCAAAAACAAATTTCGTCGAAACATATCAACATGGGGTCTAGTTTTGAAGATCTCGTCGAGACGGATTTAATGGTGAAAATAGATTTTTAATTCGCTTTTTTAATTAGGAGATAAAATATTTTTAAGCCGAAAACCAAAAAAATCTTGCTGATGTCATCTGTTCATACGTGGCAATATGAGTGGTATTGGAGGCGTGTGGGCGATGTGCAAATGCCGACACATGTGGGTGTTAGTTTTTCCGAAAACGTTTTTACGAGATGACATGTGTTTTGGCAGGCAGAACAGATCCCGTGTAAATCGTTTCATGTCCCTACAATAGTATAAAGCCCCCTACAAGCAAAATAAAGATTGCAATTGGGTCCTTTGCAGATGAGGTGCGGGCTGGGGCGAAGGTGCCGCAGCAGAGGAGGAGCGCACGCGTCTTGCCAGTGGCGGCGCTGCCATGGAGTAGGACGATGAGTGTCGGGGTGGACGCGAGGAGCAGGAGGCAGCAGCTAGCTAGCGGTGGCGGCGCCAGCGGCGGCGAGAGTAACTAGCTAGCTCGCGCCAGCAGGAACACCAGTTAACTAGCTCGCGACGCAGCAGCAGCTAGGTCGAGCTAGCTAGCACCGATGACAACAGCAGCTAGCTAGCTCACGGCCGCGCCTCATGGCTCGAGAAGCGGCGACAGCTAGGGTCCGATGGTCGCCGGCGTCGAGGCATTCCGGCGAGGTCGCGCTCAGGGAAGACCGGGGCGGGAGCTAAAAGTTCCATCCCGCCAACCATTTCTTATTTTCCAGGTCCCTATAAAAATTGCCTCCATTCGTGTAGATATGGAGGAAACGGCCCGGAATATGCAGGTTCTGTAATTTTCTTTTACAAGATGAACGATTTTGCGGGATCTATTCCGGGCGGAAAAAACACCCTCGTCCCGTAAACCATCGGTTATTTTGCCAGATGGCCCCTTTTACGGGATCCACTAAAGAGGCTCTTAGTTTCAAAAATGGTATAAAATTGCATATAAAGCATACAAGATTGATAATATAATAGTATGAAACAATAAAAAACTATAGATACCTTAAAGACGTATCACCTATCACAAGTAGCAGTTG